CAACTGCAGCAGATATGCAGAAAAAAAAGAATCACTCAGGGCTTATTACTTTCTAAACCAACCACTTAGGTTGTTTGCAGCTTTTCTCTAAAAAACATTGAGGTTCCTTTAAGTCTTGTTTTTGTTTATCAGGGGATGTTTGAAATATCTAAATGTAGACTTCGACTTAGACAGAATTTAATGTCATTTTGTTCACACAGAGTGTATACAAAAAGAAATTTAGTCCAGTACAGCTCTCAAGATATTTTCATTTTTTAAAGTGCAGCAGTGATAAATGTAAACATACAAGTGTATATGACTGACAGATTCCAACATTCAGTTTTTTTTTTATAAACCCCATTTCATACAACATCCATCAGTCTAATGGCAGTTTGGAGGAAACTGTTCTGGAATCTGCTGGACCTGCATCGGATGCTTCAAAGTCTCTTCTCAGAGGGCAGCAGGGAGAACAGTTCATGGTGAGGGTGTGAGGGGTCATTCATAATGTTACGGGCTCAGGACACGCAGAGCTGGCATGATCCTCTCTGCTGTTCTCACCACTCTCCTCACTTTCTTCCAGTCTGAGGCGCTGCAGCCTCCACACCACCCAGTGAGGCAGCTGGTCAGAACGCTTCTGTAGGTGGAGGTGAGGATGGGTGGGGGCAGATAGGTTCTCCTCATCCTCTGCAGGAATTACAGTAGCTTTTTTTCTGCCCTTTTGATCAGTGCAATGTCTTAGCAAAAAAAATTAACTTTTTTAATTTTCCTCCTTTTTTCCACATCTAAAGCCAGTTCTTACAGAATTTCAGGTGCATTACTGACACCAACTGGTCAGGAGGTTAACAGCTTCATCAAGTTCTAGATTTGTGATTTTCTTGTGTTGTATTTTGTAACTTGTATTCTTGAGTTCTAAATGTGTATTTTCACAGATGAAATATCAGTTGTCAGTTATACGTATTAGAAAGGAATACAAATCTAAAGTTCTTACTTATGTTGGCTTGTGGCTGCGGTACTTTTTGCATCTCTGCATGCTGCTCTATTAGTTTCTCATCACTGTGGGTCTAATTCTTGGTATGAGCCTCACATTCTGCCATTTTTTCTGCCCAGAAACCACTGACTTACATGACTTTCAGCACTATCTGTAAGCAGCATCTTAACAG